TATATGGAATGATACTTGAAATCTTATTTCTAATGAAAATAGGTGTGGCATGTATAGCAAAAATTGACCCTTTATTTGCAACATGCTCTTACACCTATAAATAATAGTTTAGATATATTAATCTTTTGGATTTTTATTTGTCTAACAAAATCTTGAAATAAATTATAGAAAAAATTAAGGTTTTAAGAAATTTAATTTATTTGAAGGTTATATTTTTTTAACCACAATAATTCTAAAATAATTTGATTAAAAGAAGATCTAATCATATTAAATTTTATTAAATTATTATAACTACTAGTTGTTACATTTAAAAAAATAGTTTCATATGTAATATCTCCAAAAGATAATAAATGACTATCTTTTATTTCTACATACTTCTAAAAATTTGATTTTCTTAATTAAGGATATTTTTTGTTTTTTGACAAAGTCTTTGCTTATAAATTAGGCTGATGCTTTTGAATCTAAAAAGACTAAACTTGGTGTTTTTAGATCTTAAATAAACTTCTATTATAAAACAAGATTAGGAATTTAAATAGAGAATAGAGCCTTTCTAAGATGTTATGTAAGATTTTAGTTGCACGGTTCTTGTTGTAGCTAGAAAAAAATCATTTTTTTGACATACTATTTTTTTTGGCAACCATGCTTTTTATTTTGTGATTACATTGCTTCTTTGTATAATATTGAACAATGTACTTGGATTCTCCACAATAAAGAAACAAACCTTCTTCACAACAATGAACCTTTTTTTCCTTAATAAGAAGTCAAAAACATATGTTGTGAATTTGCATAGGCTTTGGCTTGGACAAGTAAGCTACCAAAAACTTAAAAGATGTCACTATGGCTTTACTTGTATTTTTTCAACCAATTTTTTTTTCTTAGTGTCTTTCAAAGAATTGATTGTTGTATGCAATGACTTGAGTAATAAATTGCTTTAATAAATTTATTTTTAATATTAAAAATAATAAATCTTTGACATTATTTTTTTAATTCAAATCAAAATTAATTGATAGAGGCTTTGTCATTTCAATCCACATTGTAAGTAAGATTTTAGAATTTGGCAGCATATCTAGTAGCTAAATATAATCTTTATTATAAAAATATGTGTTTCGTCTCTATTATCCTTTTTTGATCATTTTCTTCAAATATAGTACTTTTTTTTAGGAGTGCTATTGAAAATCCAACTTCAATAAATCCATCAAAGTATTGAGAAAGATGCAACCTTAGATAGAGCTTTACTTATTGAAAAAGCACTTGAAATCCTGATCTTATTCCATCAAACTTTTCCAACATATATATTCTTATCTCTCTTATATTTATAATAGCAAAAATCTATGGATTTAATTATCAACTTCATCTACTTACTACTCTTAATTGCACAACTTCTTGGCATAGAATTTGAATTTAATTGTTGATTTCTTCTATAGGCATGGGAATAATACTTCCATGATTTTTATTCAAAATTTGTGAAATTTTCATTCTAAGAATATTGATAAATTTGTGAGGATCTACAATAGATGCAAATTTATTCTCTTTCTTGCCAAGAGTAGTATCTATAATTTTTTTCTACAAACAACTCAAACAAATTTAAAAATTTTAAATTAAAAGAAGATAATTTGTAATCATTAATATCAAATGAAAATTTCTATAAAAGTAAATAATCTACTTTCTTTAAAAAAAAATCTTTGTTAAAAATCTTAATTTTTTGTTTTAAAGATAAATACTCTACAACCTTCAAAATACAACAAAAGAAGTGGAAAAATTTGCTAACTTCTAAAGGATCACAAAGATAATAAATTAGTACTCTAATCAAATTATCAAGGATATGAATCTTGAAGAATTGAAAGATCAAGACTCTTGTATTACTCAAAAAGACTAGATAAACATTCAAAGATGATTTAATACTAAACTAAAATAGCTATTGCTAAAGACAATAAGGTTAGAAAGATGTGAAACAAGTCAAAGGACTAGAAAAATATTAATAAGAGTGAAGAAGGCTTTATTATTGCTTCTATATATACTATCAAATTAAGAGCTACATGACAATGTTTTATAAGACTTCCAACATATGTTGATTTTGTAAGATACATGTTTTATTTTACAAGGCAAGTTTTCTATATGTGCACCATATAGTTAACTTATTCCACAGGCTACCAACATATTATTGTATTATAACATAGCCATTAGATAAAAAAATAAATATTATTATAAAAGAACTTAATTAAAAATATTATATATATATATATATATATGATAGGTAAGTAATAAAATTTATTAGTATTAAAATTTCTTTTTATGAAAATAGATTTTATTTATTTTGTAAAGCCATAAATAAGGTAAAATAAGATAGATTAGAAAAATAAAACATATAAGCATATGTAGAAAAGAATTAGGAGTTGATTTTAGTAAAAATTACTTTAAAAAGATAAGAATTGATACTTGAAAAGAATCAATTGCCAACCAAGATAGAAATAAAATCCTAAGGCATAAAACTAAGCACCTTCAGCAACTTTAAGATTCTTTTACAAATTAAAAAATAAGATTTGATAGAAAAATTAAAAAGAGATTTTAAAATATTAGTTTAATGTCATTTGAATAAATATTAATATTTTCAAAGATTTTCAAAGTTAAAAATATATTTGGTGGATTTAGATTTTGAGAAATAAAATTATATTTATAAATTTGAGTTTTGTAGCATGTATATAGGTAAAAATTGGGAAATTTTTTGTCATGATCATTGTAAATTTATGTGAAAAATTTGAGGTCAATTGAATAGTTAGATTGAAATATATGAGGATTTTTGCGGATAATTTGCGGATAGTTTTAGAAATTTGAGATTTAGAATTAGTGAGTGATTTTGAGATGTAGTAATATTTGCTACTTGGATTGAAGCAAAATTTGGTGGGATCAATTGGGACTTAAATATCTATACATAATCCAACATTTAGAATGATTGAATAATTTGGCAAGGAGATATTAGTGTTGAAAGATCAACATTTAAGTCAAAGAAGAAGAGTGGCCAATAATCAAGAGGTTTTGAGAGCTTTTCTTGCAATTGATAAGTTTAATTCTTTCAAATTTTGTATATTTTTTAATTACTTAATGATTGAAGTTTAGGTGAAATTTTAATCAAGATTTATTGTTCAGTTAATATTTATTGAGGTTTCAAATTACTATAGTAAGTAATTAAAATTTACTTGAGATTTTTTTGAAATTGTTTAAGATTTAGGATTTTATTAGGGTTTGATTATAATTTAATTATAATTTAAGATTTAATTAGAATTTGATCTAAGATTAGAATTTAGGATTTAATTAGGATTTGGCCTAAAATTAGAATTTAAGATTTTCTTAGGATTTTATTAGGATTTGGCCTTGAATTAGAATTTAGAATTTAATTTAAAAATTTCTAGAAATTAATTAGAATTTTTTAAGAATTTGATTAAGATTTTTTAAAAATATTATTAGGATTTATTTAGAATTTGATTTAGGATTTGGCCTAAAATTTGAATTGAGAGTTATATTAGTATTTGATTAAAATTCAACCAAGATTTTTATTTTTAATATTTTTTAAAGTTTTTATTATTATATATATTTTTTTAAATTTAATTTATGATTTCTTTATGTTTCTATTATAAGTTTTTAAGACTTCTTTTGGATTCAATTAAAGATTGATTAACATTGTTATAATTTAATAAAATTTATTTAAGATTCTATTAGAGTTTTTAAGATCATCTTATTGCAAGTTTTATTTTTCCTTCTATAGCCAAGTGTTTGATACATTCTAAAAGAAGAATACATGTAGTATAATAATATATAGTATGTGGTTAACTTGTTGATCAAGTTTCTAACCTGCGAATCAACTACAATCATATATAAAGTCAAAGCTACATATATAAAGCTTCTAGGTAGCTTTTCTAGAAGATAGTATAAAATTAATCTACTTTTATCTATTTCTATCTAATTATATAGATAATTATTAGAGTAAATATGTATATCAATGACACCCTTTCAATTCAATTTATTTCAATTATTAGAATAGGAGCCTTGTTGATTATGTGACCATGACTTATAAGTATTTTTGTTTTAAAACTTTGTATATTTTGAAAAGGCATCAAAATTGTATAAATTTTCAAGTCCAAGTGTGAGGATGTAATTTTGATATAAATTTATTGATTGAAGTATAATAGACTTAGTTCTTAAAATAAAAATATTAAAAAAATAATTTTGGTATTTGTGATGGATGTCTATCATGAATAGAACATTCAAATATTATAATATTCTAAATGTTGTGAAATATGCCAATTTTAATTTAAGCAAAGATATTTGATAGTTTTAAAGATTTGTGAATAAAAAATTTGTGAACTTAGATTTAGAGTTTATAATTTCTTAATTTCTTAAAGTATAAAATATATTAAGAAAAATATGTATCATTTTTGTTTTCATGTTTCACAAGATGTAGTTGAAAATGTCAAAATTTTATAGTTGTAAAAAAAGACTCTTCTTTAATCTTAATAAGATAATTTAAAATTAATATATATATATATATATATATATTTTATACAAATGATATTTATAATTTAAATATAAAAAATTTATAATGAAATGAAGAGTTTAATAGAAATCTCAGCTAATGGAGAATGAAAGAGTTATGTATATGAGTTCAAGCTTGCCAACATTAATGGTCTCTACTAAGTTTTTATATCTTGCATGATGTCAGTGGATAAACATGCCAACTTGTTTAAAAAAACAAAATAAAATGTGACAAGTTTGTTAATATGACCATAATAAGTGCATTGAGTTTAAGATAGCTTTTGAAAGAAAAAAAAAGGAGTTATCACAGAATTTGGCATTTGGTGCCAAATACCATTAGATGGATGTAATTTAGTTTAGTGGATTTTCATCCCCTTAGCACTATCCAACAGTTGACACTTCATAGTGTGTTGCTTGTACATTCTTATTTGGGTTAGATTGCAAATTTGATGTTGATTTTTGGCACTTGGGTATGAAAATCTTTAATTACTTAACATAAAAGAAGAATATGAAAATAAAAAGAAGACAAATCTATATTGTTGAATTCAGATGCCAATTCAAATGCCACCGGGTTAAGCACGAAGGTTATTCCAAGAGAATGCTGGCAACTAGGATTAATCCACAACCTTTCTTCACGACTAACTCTAAAGACTATGCCTGTAAACAACTCATTCTACAAAAGTTCTACAGTTCGAAAAGCACGGGATGGCGTTCATCAATCGACGAGCTTCTGTCCAACAACATGGGATTCCACACTTTCGACTACGAAATTTATCGGATCTAGACAGTCGCTGGACTACTTCTATCCTAAGACAGTAACTGGAGTCCCTTCAAACGGTGAATGAACTTTTATTAGTTTCTCCCTCAATTAAACCTCATCGCATATGACGTTTGGGTCGTCCCCTCCAACGACTTTTGAGGGACAAGCTCATTGTCATGCTGAGGCTCTCTCTTGCTGACGAATGTGGCCGTGTCGTCAACATGGGGGATGGATTATTTGAGGCTGCGACAAGACTATTCTGTTGTCACACAAATCTTCAGCTACTTGCACGATCATCGTTATCTCATTGACATCATCGAGCGTATCAACATCCATATCAAACGCCTTCTCGACGATTTCCTCTGTCGTACACTCTCCAAATTTTCCCTTCAAAATTTCCTCGACCACTTGTTTGTCTTCCTCGGAAATTTTTGTCACATCGTTCATCTTCACTTCTTCGTCTGTTTCGTTTTCGGGATCAGTGGTTTCTGGTAATGCTGTCATGATGGATGTCGCAGTTGTGTCCACTGTAGCATTATCAACAGCGATAGACCTCTCTACCTTTGCGTTATCAATTTCACTCGGAGTCTCCTCGAATTCAATAACCATGTCGGTTGTGAGTGGCATCCCTTCCACTGAAGCATCTAAAGAGTCTGCTGCCGGGAACAGAATCTCTAAAGGAATTTGCTCATCAAAGGCTACGGCCTCTTCGATGCCACCGACTGTGATATGCTTGTCATCCAACGGAATTTTCAGGTCAGGAACTTCTGTGACATCAACTGCAAGTATCTGGTTATCTACCTGAGACGAATTTATGTTTTCAAGGTTCTTTGTGTCTTCAGTCTTTACTGCTTTAGTCTCAGGATGACTGTTTTGTAAGGTACATGGATGTAGTTCTGAAGCTTGTAGCAACTGTGAATCAACCAATAGCTTCTCCTTAGCGACCTTGAGGTTGTCCCTAGCTCTTGAGATTCCTGGAGCTTCATGAAAAAGAAATCAGCAGTCTGGACATTTTATTTTCCGCATCGAAATTTTCAAAAAGAATAAAAGAATCTGTCTCCAACTTAAGTATTAATAGTCAGCATTGGAGAAGGAACATCACCTGCACGTTTCTTGATTCTGCCGGATTTTAGTTTGTCTTTACCATTGCTACTGCTGCTGCGCTTCCTGCGCCTCGTTGGAATCATATCTAACTCTTCAAAGTGGATGCGTCGTCCCGGCTTTCGATTCAACCTCGCGGATCGCCTGGGCGCTTTAACTGAAGCCATACCTCCAATTCGAGATTTTATTCCAGGAGAAAGAAAACTTACGACAGTGTAGCCAAAAATTTCGCATGGCATTGCCTCGTAGTCCTCATTTGACATTGCTTGCGGTTTCTGAAGCAAGTTAGTCAACTAAAATGCTAGATTTGAATTCTCCAGGTTTAACCACACCAAAAGAAAGACATCTAAAGTAGATTTCTCAGTTTTTATTTTTTATTTTTTTATTTTTTTATTTTATTTCATAATACACAAAACTGTCCCTGATTAATGGAGCACCTGTTTCCCAGACGAAGTTTTCCGCCTTGAGGCCTCCGGGGTGAGCTTTCAAATATCTGATGAGGTGCCTTGAAGACTTGATTTCTTCACCATTTGGAGCGATGTAGCTCACATCCTTCCTCTTCTGTGCGCAACCTTTTTCGGAAGTTAACTGCATCAAATTATATCTGAATCATTACAAAAAAAAAATCGCATCCATGCATCTTGGGCTTCAAATTCCGACGAGTGCACGCAAACTTTCATTGACAGAATTCAAGCTGTGTGCGGATCGAACCTTTTTCTTCCAGCCTCGGAGTGGGCCAGACAGCTTCAGAATGGAGCAATCTGGGCTCCCGGAGGATCGAAGTGCCGCACCGTTGATTTCTGGACTTGCCATCCACCTCAACGTGCGCCCCCTCCAAAAACTCCAAAACCTTGAGAGAAAAATTTTAACAGCTTGTGCGAGCTTCTGTCACGTCTATAATAGTAATCACTCGTAACCCCGAGGCGTACAGAGTTAGCTTTGTGCTAGAAATCGAGAGCATCCTCAACGCTCAGTAATCAATCTTATGAGCCTTTTTTGACCCTCCAGTGTGACTTGCAAGATGGAAAATTCCAAGCAGCTGATACCAAATTCCTACACAACCACGATGGTCCATAAGATTGGAATACGGAAATTAGCAACATTGGTGAAAAAATAAACTTCTTGAATACGACTTTCGGAAAGGAGTCTTCATTTGAGAGAATGGAGAGCGGAGACTTAGGAAGTGGACGAAATGTAAGAGGACACTTTGTAAATGTATCTGCTCTTCATTCTCGGGATTGTAAGAGGACGGAACGGGAGGTATGAAATGATGTGGAGGCTCACACATCAGGATCGTGAAGGTTTGCGATCTTGGAGGAGAAGAGGCACCATACGAGCGTACAGGAGTTGCAATCTTCCGCCATCCCCTTCTATCTCCTGGCACCCTCTCTGCCACGCCTGGCAACAAAGAACTTATCCAGTCCGTCCCTACATCCTGCTCGTTCCCAATCGATTCCGCCTCCATTGCAAAGATCTTTCTCAATCCTCAAAATATCTCCAATTCTCAGAACCTCGACACCTTCGGGATTCTCGAACAAATCCGCGACGCAACCCGCGAGATAACTGTGCGTCGATATTATTAAATACAAGACATGTAGATGTGAAGGAAATAGAGTTATCGCACAGGGGAAGATGATCGGATCGAACGCTCATCGCGTTTACAAATTTATGCTTAGCCAGTCATCTGTATATCATGCGTATTTTAACAGTGTACTTTTACGTATACGGTGACACAAGCTAAATATGTAATGGTTTGAACTAATAAATATTGAGCCCTTAATTGTTATCTATAAAGTTGTATTATTAAGTTTTAGAATATCTCAAAAGCTTTTTGCTAGATCGCTTTATACTGGCTCAATAAATTTACCAGGTTGTTGGCAAAATAGTTTTAGCCCAAGGGTTTTATCTACTAAAATAAAAATATTATATAAATAAATATATGTCATTATTTAAAAAATTAAATCAATTAGAATCATATAAATTTTAAAATTAAAGTATAAATAAAGTAGATAATTTTAAATTTTAAAATACACATTATAACTTTGCATATATATATATCCTCAAATTTAAAATTTAGAATACACATTATCAAAAAGTATTTTATTGTCTCAAAGATGTACCAACATGTTAAAAAAGTCATTTTCTAGTCAATTTTTAAAGACAAATTTTAAAAATATATAATATTTAAGTTTAATTTTTTAAATTATTTTTCTAAAAAAAACTTTGGTATTATTCACCAATGATAATGCTACACTACTTTGTTGCACAAATTCTAACAATTTTCATTTTATATATTCTTTCTTTAAAGGCTGCATAACACTTCTAATTTTAAAAGTAATAATAAAAAAACAAGTTTTTAAAAAATACATACTATTTTTCTAATACAAAAAGACAAAATATTTTGGAAACTGTTGAGAATATTTGGAAAGACACAAGAGTAATAGTAAGTCATACACACACACAAGAGTAGTAGTAAGTCATACACACATACAAGAGTAATAATAAGTCATACACATAAGAGGGTTTCTAAAGAGAGAGAGCTTCACACATAAAATTCTATTGATCTGGTTATGTCTCTTATACAAGAAGAGAAAAGAAGAGAGGATAAATAATACTTCTCCACTAGATTCTAAATACTGTAGCTATGGTATTTACTGTAGTCTACAGTAAATATTATGGAGAGCGCCTGCTACATTTAATGATCTCAACAGTCCTCCTCGCTCATCATAATATTTACATAATATAAAATTTGTATAGAATCATGATCTATACTTTTCTGTGATCTTGCAAGATCAACAATTGTTGCCTCATTAAAATCTTATTTAGGAAAACCTTATTTTATTTAAAGACAAAACCATAGATGAAGGAAAAAGAGTACACATCATTTTCTTTAATTATTTAAAGAGCTCATTAACTTTCTTATTCGAGAAAAGCAAGTCGTTGCATATCAATGCCATAAGTAAGTCGACGATGGTTGCTTAATGGAAGAGCTTTGGTAAAGAGATTAGTAAGGTTATTTGTAGATTCAATTTTCTTAATTATAAGTGTTTGATCAGTAATCAAATCATGACTATAACTAAAATACTTTGGATCAATATGCTTTGTCCTATCGCCTTTAATGAAACCAACTTGCATCTGTGCAATACAAGCACTATTATCTTCATGTAAGATAGTTGGAGAATCATCATATAAAAATCCACAGGTTGTTTGAATGAATTTATCAATTGATCGCAATCAAATATATTCTTGAGATGCTTCATGTATGGTAATAATTTTTGCATGGTTGGATGAAGTTGCAATTATTGTTTGTTTCACTGAATTCCAGTATATTGCAGCTCCATGTCTTAAGAATACATATCCTATTTGAGATTTAGCTGTTGGAATATCAGGTTTATATCCTGCATCACAATATCCAACCAATTTTGGATCTGCAAATTGTGTGTAGTATAATCTCAAGTCTTCAGTATCTTTTAAATAATGTAATAAATGTTTGATGCCATTCCAATGTCGTAGTATTGGACGTACACTATGTCTTGCAAGAACACTAACTGCAAATGCAATATCTAATATTGTAGATGTAGCTAAATACAAAAGTGCTCCAACCACTACTAGGTATGGATATTGGTCTCCCAATATTTCCTCCTCCTCCTTACATGGACGGTATGAATCATGACCATTATAACCACGTCCAACCATTGGTCTGGACAATGGATAAGCATCAATCATTTTAAATTTTTGGAAGATTCGTCTAATATACATAAGTTGGTAGAGAAAGATGCTACCCTTTATTAGATGCATAATCTGAAGACCAATGCAGAAAGTTGTTTTTTCTAGCATTTTCATCTCAAATTCATGTGTAAGTAGGTTTGTAGCTGTAACACATGTAGATGTAGTGTCCACTAAGTTAAGAACATCAATATATATAGCAATGATCACAAAACCAATTTTATCTCGTTTGATAAATAAACAAGGGATTAGTGGATCACTTATAAAATTATTTGTAATTAAATAATATCAAAGACGTTGATACTACATTTATTCGGATTGTTTTAAATCATACAAGGCCTTACATAATTTAATACCACGATATTTTTCTGGAGCGGATTGATTTCGAGTTCCTGTTTCTAAGCCACGTGGAACTTTCATATAAATATTTGCATCAAGAGAACCATATAGATATACAGTTACTACATCCATCAGATGTATCTCAAGGATGGCATCAACTGTCATTCCAATAATATATCAAAATGTAATTGAATCCATGACTAGAGAATATGTGGATTCATAATCAATGCCAAATCGTTGAGTAAATCCTTGAGCAACAAGACAAGCTTTATAGCAGGTTATTTGGCCTTGAGCATCTTGCTTGCATATTAATACCATTTTATATCCCATAGGGTAAGATGTAAGAGTGTCTACAATTGGACCAAAGACTTTTCTCTTACGCAAAGAGGCATACTCGTCCTCAATAGCAATTTTTTATTTTAACCAATCTGAGCGATGCATCACATCTTCGATGGTTTGAGATTCAGGATCGTCTTCCTTGCAAGAAAGGGCTTCTGTAATCATATATGCAAATGATTCATCTACCGTAATAGATGGTCTGTCCCAAATATCATCTGTAGCACAATACAAAATAGATAATTCTTTACTCAACTTGTTCTTATTCCTTCTAATTTCAAGATTATTTTTCATAGGAATTGAAGGTACATTATGCATTGATATATTATCATGAATTGGTAGTCCCTCATGATGAGTGGCAATTTCTTGAGAAATAATACCAAGATTAGTTAATTTTATAGCTTTCTTCTTACGTGGTTTCTTATCTGGTCTACAAGTTCTTTTAGTTGTTGTTGTTATAACTTGAGGTATTGTAGTCAATGGCACTGTAATCTGAGCAAGTGCATTTTGAGCCTCATTAATAGGAACTCTTGTAATTCTAGGTGCATCATTGAAGCCATCAGGTATTTCATCCGCGATCCATTTTAAATGCAAATTCTTAGCAACTTTAGTTTCTGCGAAAGATGTCCTAAGATCGTGATACATTGTAAATGTTTCTGGTGCTTCAAATATGAGTACTTTATTTCTTTGTTGATTGGATACTCCTCCTTGAAGAGATGAAAATATAGTTTCTTCAAAACGATAATTTTACAAACGTGCACGTAATAATGTGCAAGTTGATGGATCAATAATACGAATAATGCTTGGTGAATCAAAACCAACATATATGCCTTCTTGCATGTCCCAATTGTCCATGCCAAAGAGAAACATGACTCTCTAAGATAGATGATGCAAAATTAAATATAATGGGAGGCCAAATCACAATTCGGTATAAACCATTTTCTGTAGCAAAAGCTTTTTCAATAACTTTATGGTTCTTCGTAAAAACCAAAACCTCTTTTTTATTTAAAGTAGCGGTTGAGAGGTGATAACCATTAATACGCATATCTCGATAGGTAATCAGACTCCGAGGTGCTGAGGGTACAAACATTGCATTTTTATATTTTATGATGGAATCCGCAGGTAATTTTACCATCACTGTGCCTTCTTAGAAACAAAATGCATTTATTCTAGCCATGGTCATTATATTTTCAGTTTGCCAAGTTGAAGATTTTTCAATAAAAAATTGTCTATCTCACAAGATAGTATGTATTATTGCAAAATCAATAAGCGCATCATTTGATTCATCATTAGAGGTTTTATCATTCATATAAGCCTTTAAGTCATCAACACTAATTGAATCCATCGATGCATCTAAGGTATGAACTTCATGAGCCTCAGCTCGTAGTTTCTTATTTTCTTAGAATATTTTAATAAAAGATTCTAAAGTTTTGTATGCATATACTAAATGTCCAATTATTCCACACTTATGGTAAGAATATATCTCGAATTTTTATTTTCTACTATAATTAATAGTAGAACGTTTATTCTTTCTGTATGGATAGAAATGGTCTTGACTATGACTACTATGATTGCTCGTTTTACTTATTCCGTAAGAAACCTCCTAGCATAAACCCGTATAGGGGGATTCGAACACGGGGAATGATTAGTTGCTTAAGCATTCACATTAGGGTCACACAATCAATTACCTCCTAAATGTATCGTCTCTATTTCCAATATCTGAACACACAAGGAAACTATAATCTCCTCCTTCATCTTATCGGTCTCTTCCTTATAGCAATTCAGTCATACCAATAACTGCTATTTCCACCAATATATTCACCCTCATAATCTCCAACTGTAATACTGCACCCTCACAACTTTTAGCACACAATTATCTTCATTCCAATCAGTGGAATTCTTCACACAACACTACCATTCACATTACAGTATTTCACACAAACACATACTCATTCTTTCTATTGAACTACAATCAGATTTCAGCATTCAATCTTTCTTCTTTTCAAATAATACCAATCACATTTCCATTCTATAATTCACTTCACAATATTCAGAAACTCTCAATCCTCTTATTCAAAGAAAATAACAAATAAAAGAAAAGAGGTAGCACCAAGCTTACCTCAGCTCATACTATCACAGTGATGGCACCTTAATTAACTTCTACAA